TGGATTGCTGCTCAGCAGTTGTGGCTTGTGGGCTCTAGAGCTCAGGCTCAGTAGTTGTGGCACATGGGCTTAGTTGCTCCACGGCATGTGGGATCTTCCTGGACCAGGGATTGAACCTGAGTCCTCTGCATTGACAGGTGGATTCTTAACCACTGTGGCACCAGGGAAGTCCCTCCATTAACATTTTAAAAGAACACAATAGCTGTAGGTGGGCAAGGGTGGAAGCAAGGAGACTGGTTAATATGCTAAGAGGATAATCCTGGTGAGAGAAAAAGATGGCTTGGATCAGGTGTTGGCAGTGGAAGTGGAAAGAAGTGGGCTTTTCTGAATATATTCTGAAGGTAGAGCCCACAGGATTTCCCAATGGACTGGAGATGAGGTATGAGAGAGGAATCAAGGGTAACCTCAGCCACTGGAAAGATTGTCGTGAACTGAGACGGGGAAAACCGCAGGTGGAGCAGATTTAGGGGGAGAAGATCAGGAGTTTAGTTTTGGTAAGTGTGAGACACTTCATAAATATCCTAGAGTAGAGGCAAAGCCATGAGACTCTCTGCAATCTGTTTGGAAGTGATCCAAAGGCTAAGCCCTAGAGTACTCTGTCATTAAGAAGCCAGGTACAAAAGGAAAACCTACCGAAGGGAACTAAGAAGGACTCACCTGTGAGGTAGAAGGAAAATGAAGAGAGGATGGTTTCCTGAAAGTAAGGGGGGGGGGGTGGGGGGAGAGTCTCCAGGAAGGAGGAGAAACAAAGTAGGTCAAATGTTGCCGAGAGTCAAGTAAAACCAGGCCTGAAGACTGATGACTGGATTTACTAATGTGGAAGTTGTGAGTGACCTTAACAAGTACAGTTTCAGTGGCATGTAACAGGTGAAAGCCTAATAAAGTGGGCTTAACAGAGAACAGAAGAGGAATTTGAGACACTATACACAACTCAGAAGGAATGCTACTGTCAAGGCGAGCAGAGTAATGGGGTGATAGCTGAAGGGGAAAGTTAGGTCAACAGCATTTTTTTCCTTAAGAAAAGAAGAACTAACAGCTTTCTTTCTTTCTTTTTTTTTTTGGTATGTTGAAGGGAATGATCCAGAAAAGAAGGAAAACCTGATGTAGTTTCTTTATCTGTGAAACAGGAACCAGTAATGTATCATTATAAGGATTTAATGAATTAATAAATATAAAGCACTTAGCGTGGCATAAAGCATGCACTCAGTAATGCTTGCTTTAAAATACAGAGTATCAGGCTACTCCTAATGACAAACTTGGTTAGGAGGACTGGAAGTTGTTATAGACCCAATTATCAAGTCAATTCACAACACAAGCAAAGAAAAAGGGATATAAGTGAAGTTTTACGGGACAGGAGACTGAAAGCAGGTTTTATATTTACTGTCTTAGGATGAAGAAGTTCAGTCCCAACGTGAGCATAGTAAAAATTATTCACAGCAGAGTTTCACCAAGCACCCATGGGGATCTAAAGTAATGGCTGCTTCTTTTTCCTCTCATTACCCGGGGCCCTTTCTATTATTTTGCCTCTCACCGACTTCACAATTAGAAGTATTTTCATCTACCCAATTGCATTAAGTAAAAACCACTTTGATTTCTCAATTTCAGTAGTCAGATGCATATAGCCCCAAATCAACAAAAGAGGCCTAGTGTTATCAAAGCTGATATAATTACAAAGGCAGACAACCATGGTTTTTAATTAACCTATAGGTTAATTAAAATCTTACAACTTTACTATGGACAAAAGTTATTTTTCATTAGATTTTCTGAATTATTAAGAGTAACATCATTTCTGTATTTAACCTAACGTGGTTAATTCAATCATATGTATAAGGCCCAAAGATAGACAGACCAGGGGACACAACCAGCTCTAGTGTAAAAGAATAAATGCAAAACAGAGAATTGTTACTCTTTTATCCCAGATAAAAAGAAATCAGCGGGAAATGGAAAGAAAACAAAATAGTTCTTAATCTTCACTTTTATTTTATTTTTTGTGATTTTAAAGGCTGATGTCCTTGAGGTTCTATAACGATTTCTAAGAGTGATGTACGCCATGTACTAAAAGATATCCCCCACAAACTGGGGAAACCAATAACCTATATGTTTTTATACCTAGACTGGGCCTGTCTCCTAAGAGTAGGAAAACCAGCCTTGATTTTGAAACAGTCTTTTCTGCCAAATTCAACTGTCCACCGATTTAAAAAGAATAGATCTAACTCTCTGCAGGACATACTGCAATACAGAAAGCCACCTAAAACAAAGACATGAACTCAAAAATTTAAATGGTTATTACCTTCCAACATACTACTCTCTTCATTACCACTCCCAAAAATGTACTTATCCTTTTTGTTTATAATGTATTTACTTACTGGCTTACTGTATTTTCTATCTTTCACCATCACTATCACCTCTATTATTTTAGATTTTAAAGGCTTTCAGGGTAGGAACTGGCAAAGACTTCCATATAATAATTAAAGCACCAAACACATAGTTAACACTCAGCTTATGTTAAATAAATGAATGCTTTTAACAACGTCAAGGCAAGGACCCTCAATGGCAAACCCAAACTAAAACCTCAAGTCTAAAGGTATTCAATGATTTTATAGAAAATGAATTTCTGAAGTGGAAAAGCTAATGTGAAAGGGCCATAAATACCTGCTGGAACTTATATAAATCATTATACTTTTCATGGAAGTCCAAGTTCAAAAGTTCCTTCTGAAGTCCTTCCAAGAAGTTTTCGCTTTGGATGAAGTTTGGGATCACACAGTGAAGAAAGGGGTCCATGTCCATGACAATGGCTTCTGTGGGGAGGAAAGCATTATCTGTGACTTTTCCCTTTTGTATATATATATATATATATATTTTTTTTGCGGTACACGGGCCTCTCACTATTGTGGCCTCTCCCGTTGTGGAGCACAGGCTCCGGACGCGTAGGCTCAGCGGCCATGGCTCACGGGCCTAGCCGCTCTGCGGCATGTGGGATCTTCCCGGACCGGGGCACGAACCCATGTCCCCTGCATAGGCAGGCGGACTCTCAACCACTGCGCCACCAGGGAAGCCCCCTTTTGTATTTTTGACCTGTGAGCAGCACAGTAGAGAGAATACAAAAGGGATGGTCGTGAATTTTCAGAAATCTAGTACCTAAAATTTAAGATTTTGGGCAAGAATTATACGCTCTTCCTTTTTTTTTTTCCTCCACTTAATACTACTTTTTAAAGGTACTGTGCTTAAAAATATTAGTCCTTAAGATGAGTACAAACGATGTCACTAAATTAAGATTTCTGCTCTTTTTGGGTTTTTTTAGTTCAACGATTACTTATTCAACTGAATGTATTTTACAGTCTTAGTTCATTTCCCCCCAAACTTCAAATGAGAGTAGCAAATTAAAAATGAGAATAACAATACTGGTAGCCAATTTTTCTTCAACCCTTTTTCTTTGCCTAAGTTACTGCTAGAGGAAGTTATAAAATACATACTTCTTTAAAAAAAAAATCAGGTCAGGCATAACCTCCTCTAACTCTTTGAGTTTTACCTCAACGTTTTACCCACTGCTTCTGGTGGGACAGATTATGTACCCCTCTAATACAAACCACCACCACCTCCCACCGGCTGCCAGGCACTGTGGTGCTTTAACATGCATTATCTCATTTAATCTTCTCAACAGTTCTAAGGTAGACGTCATCACTATCTCCATCCCACACATAAGGAAACTGAAAAGTCCCTGAGTGTCCAGAGCTTACACTCCAAACACTAAGCTACCACTTTCTATGTGCATCCGGGACACCAAGGACTCATCTCTTAAAGCACTCAACCACTGAAACAAAAATCATGGCAAACTTTAGCAGGGAAAGCATGATGCATTAAGCAGAGTTCTTATCCTATAAGGCGATATTTGAAGCTGAGGCTGGAATCATTTGATGAAGGTTCCTTCCTTTGGTCAAAACCATGTTTACCTTCATGGGTCACGTTGCTGAACTACAGACCGGCAAAACTAAGTAAGCTCAGGTGCCTGCTATTTGGCAGCTCCCAACAAATGCTCTAGCTACGCTATTATGGGACAAACGAGCGTTACCTTCGGAGGAAAACCGCAAAAGCCCTCGACTATGTGTCCAAATGTTTACTGGTCCTTACTCAGAAAAATATGTATTGATGCATACATACATTAGCTTATTAATCACACTCAACATCTTTCTGAGGGAAATACTATTAGCTATCCTACTTTACATAGTAAGGAGCTGAACCCATTGCCCAACGACGCACAATCAGTGAAGAAGATTCTACCTCACCTTTAATTCCAGAATTTCCATGAACTTGCATGCCCTGTACTTCCCGAAACTCCCTGGCCTTCATTTCTTCCTCTTCTAGGTTTCTAAATCCAAACTGAACTTGGAAAAGGGACAGCAGGCCAGGCAGGAGAGTCGGAGGTGGCAAAGTCACGCTCTCTCCAAGAGCCTCTTCCCCTGTAGCCTCGCTGCTCAGGAATCGGCTAGAGTGCCAGGACTTTTTCAGAGGCCCCCGACCCGGCGCTGCGCCTCCCCCTTCACAGCACCCGCTTACCGTGGCGAAACGGCGTCCTGCGACTCCAGGCCTCAGCCACCTGCTTTTTCAAAGTTTCCTCCGTGACAGCATCCGAAAACTTCGCCATCACCTCCTTCTTTCCCTTTTTCCCAGCCCGGCCCGTGACGGGCTCAGCAGGCCTCTTACCACTCATCTCCTCGCAAGCTGCAAGACCCACGTCACGCTAACCTAGCGGCTTTTTTCCTACGGAGACTGCAATTCCCAGAATGCCTCATTTCCCGTGTTTCTCCACCGCTATCTAATAGGAAGTACCCAAGTAAAGGGAGGCGGACCCCATACCCGACTTACCAATGGGAGCTCCAGATATTGTGGCCATCCCAGCAGCGATTGGATCGATGTTGCTCGGTCGGGCAGGCCACCGCCTCTCTACTTCCTGCCGCCAGAGGCTCTGGCTGCACTTCCGGCGTACGTACGCCTCCTCGGGCGCTTTTTTGTTAATGGCGGGCGGCGGTTGCTGAGTGGGTCGCAGATAACGGCTGCCCGCACAGGGAACGTCTCCCTGCCACACCTTTTCCGCTCGCCGCTAGTGCCCGAGCTCGCCAGCATGTCCGTGGTGCCGCCCAATCGCTCGCAGACCGGCTGGCCCCGCGGGGTCAACCAGTTCGGCAACAAGTACATCCAACAGACCAAGCCCCTCACCCTGGAGCGCACCATCAACCTGTAAGTGCGGCCTGGCCCTCGCGCGCTGTCCTGTCGGCATCTCCTTCGTAGTGAGCGCCCCTAAAGACTCCAGTCCTCTCCTTCTGGCGCACCCTCGGGGGATTCCGCTTCTTCGACCTCCAGCACCACGGGGCTAGAGTCCTAGTTGAGAAGGTTTTCCCTTTTCTGGAAAGATAGCTTGTTCCCATGCCCCTGCATTCAGTCATTGTAGGAAAACCCCCTTTGCTGTGAACTCATTCTTTCCTCACCTCTCCGGAGATAAGCGGCCGCAAACCGTGGTGTTTATCCTTTAGCATCGCGTGTATGGTATCGTATTGTGTGTTTTTATTTGGTATGAGTGGTATAACGTAGCATCGCTTTTGCAGTTTTCGCTTTGCTCTAATAGATTTTGAGATCTAGCTATAATGCGCGGGTTTAGTTTTTTTCCCTTGCTTTATTGCGTTTCAGCTCCTGAATACACATTTTATTCGTCTGCTCAGGGCTATCTGGCTTCCCCCTATGCATTCACGTGTCTTCCCTGCCGCAGCGACAGGATCCAAGCGCCCAGGAGGGCCCATCTTGGGAGGGGGCTGCGGCTTTCATTGTGGTTGGGCTTTCAGACCGTGGCGAGGACCACAATGAAGCTCCAGAGATCCCATTGCGGGCTGCGTTTATTTTCAGCATCTTTCTGTTTAAGCTCTTCAAGCCATTGCATTTCGAAGCCGCTGTCAAAAGTAACCTCGCTGTGACAGGGAATTGACATTCGGGCTGTGTCTTGCTCAAGAAATTATGTGTGCTTTTTTTTTTTTAATAACCTCTGAAAGTTTGTGAGGCACCGTGGTGCTGACTCTAATGGAAGAAAACGGCCAGTTTATGCTGGTCAGTATTTAAAGGGTGCAAGGATTTACTGATACTGGTGTTTCGGTAGGACACTTTAGGTGTTTCTCTATTTTATATTCAAATAAATGAACTTTCTTTCCTCAAAAGCGATTTGAAATTGAAAAGATGGTTATTGTTGTTTTATTTGACAAAACAGGTACTGGAAATTTAGGTAATAAAAATGTTGGGTTTATGAAATCTGGAACTAGTAGATATTGTACAAGTTAATATCTTTAGTTATTACACTAGCATTTTAATTTCCTATGATGTCTTTAGAAAAATCCTCGTAATATTCCCATGAAATGGGAAAGGCTAAATGTTTTTCTAAAAAATGTGAAAGCACAGCTTCTGGATTACTTTCACTGGTAATTAGAACTAGGACTCACAATTTTCCCTTGATTTACCTTGATTATTGGATCAATTTGCATCAAGCCATTATATGGAACTAACGGTGAAAATGTTTTAATTTTTGCTCCATTAAAGTTATGGGTTAATGGATTTGCAGTAGTTTTCCTCTCCTATATAAACACAGTATTCAGAAATGATTGTGTTGTGAACTCAGTTCACGTGGGTGAGTAATGGTCTGAATTGAAAACAAGTTCTCTCTTCTCCAATATATTTTATTAGGAAGTATTGTATGAGATATTGCATGAATGCTTACTTTGTAGCCGGCACTGGGAATAATGCTGGGTATACAGGGGTGAGGAAGTAAGGTGTAGTCTCTGCTTTACAAAGCTCACAGTATGATGGGAATACTACAGATGTATCTGGGCTGGCACTCATTTCACAGCTGAAAATTCTTATATTTCATCTTGATGGCATCTCGTGATGGGAGAGCTGGCTTTTACAGTAGAGATGTGTTATAGCTGTCTTTAATTCTTTCTAACTCAGGTTGTGAGAACTAAATGTTAATATATATAAAGCATTTTCTTTTTAATTGCAGGGCACACAGTGCTGTGTGGGATTGCTGCTGCTAGTGATGAAGATGTTAGATTTAGCACTGAGTCTACTGGGGAAATTCTTAAAATCTTTAAAGCATCTTGGAAATAGTTCATTTTAGTTATTTTAGAGCTGCTTCACTTATGCCTAGAATTTGGCTTCTGGGATTAAAGTAATTTTATAAGTTTTGGCAACCTTGATTTGTACCCCTTTCAAGAATAACTAAGTGGATTAGTTATGCTGTTGTTGATTTCTAATGCAAGGTGTTTTGGTAGACTAAATGCATTGGGGACAGACAGGTGTGGCCAAAGCATTCTTACTCAAAGGCTTATAACCAAAGGCTTCTTATTGTAAGTCTTATGATCGAGGGGTTACAAGGTAGTACCTGTGATGAAATATAAATATGAGTTTTTAAACTATCTTTAAGGAAAAAATCTTACTAGGCAAGAAGAAAACTGTCTTCAATATAAGTCATATTTTGAATTCTTGATAAAGGAGGAGAGAATATTCAGATTACATCTAGTGGGCAAAAGATTCAAATGAGGGGAAAGGAAGAATAGGGATACTGAATAGAACAAATGCAGAAGGCTAAAAGGCTTAGAAGGGAAAGAAAAGTTCATCTGAAAAAGAAAGGTATGAGAAAAGTCTGAAGATTGTTGACTGGGAGAAATAGAAAATAACTGGGGAGATGAGGGAAAGTGGTGACTCAGCTTGTAGAAAAAGAGAGATTAACCATTAACGCCCATAATTAATAGAATTTATGATTAGATTAGTAGAGGAACCCAAGGGCGCATTAGCCAGGTTGGCAGTGTTAGTGTAGCATCCATGATCTAAAACCAGAAGATTACCAGTTATTCAGATAGCCACTCCTCTAAGCATTTAAGGACTTTAAGGATACTGTCATCTGTGCTTGAAAGTTCAAGTATGAAGTAGCAGCTTGTTCTAATGAAAACTCTGGCCTTAGAGTCCAAAGAGCTAGATTCTAGTCTCCGCTGTTTTATTAACTAGTTGTTTAATTTTGGACATATCCTATTGTCTCTGAGTGTAATATATAAACTTTTTACCATGGTTTCCTTATATGTGATTGGTATCTGTCCTGCTAAGTTATGTTCTACAGTTCTCTGATGTTTGTCTTTGGATCACAGGTACCCTCTAACCAATTACACTTTTGGTACAAAAGAGCCCCTCTATGAGAAGGACAGCTCCGTTGCAGCCAGATTTCAGCGCATGAGGGAGGAATTTGATAAAATTGGCATGAGGAGGACTGTAGAAGGGGTTTTGATTGTCCATGAGCACCGGCTACCCCATGTGTTACTGCTACAGCTGGGAACAACTTTCTTTAAACTGTAAGTGTCATTGGAAATTAACAACTTTTAATAGGATTGCTGTTCTCTGCAGCTTTGGAATACAGTTTTAGCTTTTAGTCATTTATCTCAACAAACACTGCTGTTAATGGAGTCTTTAGAAAGAGAAAAAGCATTTTTTTCTCCAGTGCAGTGCTCATTTATTGCCTAAGTACAAATCTGCATGTTTCTGTGTATTGTTGATGTTGGTGACTGAGCTTGATAGGAGCCCTATGAAACAAATGAGTCTGAGTTCAATTTCTAGGTGTCTTTGTAGCATTACTAAGAACAATTGATATTATTTCCTGCTTAGGATGAATAGTGTTTCCTATTCTTAAAATGGGTTACATTTTTATAGATAATTGTTTAATTTTCTCATTTAAGCTCATAAATCTCTCAATACGTGTTTAGTCCACAACTATTTGACCAGATTGTACCAAAAAGAGAGTTCTCAAATACCTAGTTTGGAAATTTTGAAAAATGCCCCATTCTTAAGATCTAGAGAATGTGGGTCCACTGCTTTCTGGGCGTTTCTCGACTCCATTATCACCAGATAATGTCCAGAGAGAAAAGAGTGGGATGGACTGGTTTCCAGCAATTATGTGATGTTTATGTAGCGGTACCTATTTTGTTTATTTAAAACTAAGGTTTGTGTACTGTAAGTCAGGCGACTTAACATTATGAATTCAGTTTTCTAGCACATTCTCCCCCTCCATTTGACATTAGTTTGCTTTGATTGCCTTATCATGTGATACTGAAATGTGTTATGCAGTTACTTGATAGAAATTATTATTATTGTGTTTTTTCTGTTATCCCCAAATTGTATTAAGTTGAAAGCTGAAATTCTTAACCTTTATACAGACCTGGTGGTGAGCTTAACCCAGGAGAAGATGAAGTTGAAGGACTAAAACGCTTAATGACAGAGGTATTTTTCTATTTAACCACTTTGAGGGTTTCATTAATGCTCATTTAAATACCATCAACTTAATGCATAATCAGGTTTTTTTATGTCTTGAAAGGGATGAGTTTATTTTAACTATTTAGTTTTCAATAAATATAACTTAAACCTGAGAATCTTAGTACAATGTTTATTGTACTAAGCAAGTTGCAAGTTATACTTATACTTCCTTTATCTTAACATTATTTTACATTGATATTGTATATACAGCAATAATGGTTAATGAAACATTTACTGAGTACTGACTGCTAAGCACTTTAAGTGCTTTACATGCGATAATTCCTTTACTCATCATAACAGCACTAGGAAGTGGGTACTATTATTAATCCTGTTTTACCGATAAGGAAATTAGAGCACAGAGAGTTCAAGTAACTTGCTTGATGTTATACAACTAATGTGTCGTGAAGCTGGAGATTTGAATGCAGGTAGTTTTATTCCAGAATAGGTGTCAATAGAATTTTGACAAGGGAATGATTCCTGTTATATACCTGTTTTCATTTTTGCCCATATGTTTTAGGCTTTGCCCAAGTTGTGCTACTTCTTAGAAGTTGTGCTAATGTCTGTCTCTAAAGACTTGGGGCCAAATGCATATAGATGCTGGAGGTTTTTGAGATTGTAAGCTGTTTTCATTATTAAATATTTTTCTTTTTAGCATGCAATCCCCCCACCCCCTTAGTTACAAAACTAATACATATTCTGTACAACAGGTTTGGCAAATACAGAAAGTAGGAGAGACAAAACTAAAATCACCTGTAATTCTACCACTTTGACCTATTGGTTTGTCTTTTTTGTATTTTTTAAATGCATTACAACTCTTAAATATTGTGCTGTGTTTGGACTTTCATTTACATATGGTAGATTGAACCTACCTGCTTACCTCAGCTTTTTCTCAGAACTCTACCGACAAGTAGTAAAGGGGTTTTAGAAAGGTAAAAATCCAGTAGGATTGAGGGAGTGCAAAATGAGATAGCAGCAAGAAAAAACTGTTAGAAGCTAGAAAGCAGATGAGCAAATCATAACTGACTTAGCCAGAACCTCAGCCCAGCAGAAGGGCAAGTCCAGGACCCAGCACTGTAGAACACCAGAAAGGCCAAGGAATTGGGGGTGCCTAGTGCCAGTGAAAGAGGGGGCATGCATGGACTGAAAACTGAATTGACTGGCAGTCTGTATAGGATTATTTATATACCTAGATCGTCTTCCCCACTCTGTACATTTAGGTAAATACTGGCTGCTGATTAATTCTCTATAGAGATTGAATCAGAAAACACTAAACAATGAAAAAGTTGAGGAGGTAGGGAGAATACATGAAAGTGTACATCCTGAATAGGGAAACTTACAGACTTCTACCAGTTTAATGGAGGGACATTCTACAAAATACCTAACTAGTACTCCTCACAACTGTCAAGGTTATAAAAAATAAGGAAAGTTTGAGAAACTGTCACAGTCTAGAGGAGCCTGAGGAGAAATGCAAATATAATGTGATATCCTAGATGGGATTCTGGAAACTGAAAAAAGGACATTGGGTAAAAACTAAGGTCATCTGATTAAAATACAGACTTCAGTTAATAAGGAGGTATCAGTATTGGTTCATCAGTTGTGGCAAATGTGCTATCCTTATGTAAGATGTTAAAAGTAGGGAAAACTGGTTATGGGATATATGGGAAGTCTCTGTACCATCTTTTCAACTTTTCTGTAAATGTAAAACTGAGATAAACTGTCTATTTGAAAACAAGAAGAATGCTTTTAAAAATAGAGGCAAATATTGGGGGAAAACAGCTAAGAGTTGAAAGTTATAGCCAGTGGGAGTGGTGAAGTGGGACAGGGAACTGTTCTTTCTCATTACGAATTTTTGACCAATTAAAATATATAGAATATAGCTTTGATTAACCTTAATCCTATGTTATACATATTTATAGAAATGAAAATTGTGAATTTTGCACACTTATTTCTATAGGTTGGTTAGATGGGTGATTTACAAAAGCTACAGTTGATTCTAGAAAAAACTATTGTATGCCGTTGGCTGGTGTAGGTAATTGATCACCTTTGGTTTTCCATGCATAGCAAGGACATAGAGCAGATGTGTTGGTCCTCCATGGTTATGTTGATGCTAGACTGCTAATTTTGAACTAATAGTGTGTCTTGGGCAGAGTGACACAGATAATAAATAATAAACAAATTATAGAAAGGAAATCCATGTGGGAGGCATATTAGCCATTAGTCTCCATTAGGAGTGCTGCCAAAGATATTTTCTTCACTGAAGAAGGATATTCATGGCTATGTATATTTAGTTGTTTACTGGCTCTATCATTTCTTTTTGACAGATATTGGGTCGTCAAGATGGAGTCCTGCAAGACTGGGTTATTGATGACTGCATTGGTAACTGGTGGAGACCAAATTTTGAACCTCCTCAGGTTAGTGTTCAGTTACATTTGCTGGGCATTTGGGGAAGTAGGAAGCTGATTTAATTCCAGCCATTTAAAAAGATCATAGTAGAATTTGACTTGAAATTTCCTTTCTTCCCTACTTAATTTAAATTTAAAAAGCCAAGCATTTTTTTCTTTTAAAGGAAAATTTCAAATATATACAAAAATAGAATAGTAAAAGTAAACAAACCTCATTACCTCTCATCCACCCTCAGCAGTTAGCAACTCATGGTCAAACTTCACCAACCCTATCCTTCCCCTGACTGCTCCATTCCTGCTGCCCTCATCTTGGGTTATTTTGAAGCAAATCCTAGATATAATTTCAGTTGTAAATATTTTAATGTGCATCTCTAAAAAGTAAGGATCTTTTTAAAAACATAACCACAGTGCTACCATTATCATACTAAAAATAAATAATTTCATAATATCATTAAATGTGTAGTCACTGTTCAAATATCCCTGATAGTTTCAAATTTTATTTTTATAATTTGTTTGAATTAGGATAGTCTCTTTTTTAAAACTTATTTAATTATTTTGGCTGCGTTGGGTCTTCATTGTGGTGCGTGGGCTTCTCATTGCGGTGACTTCTCTTGTTGCGGAGCATGGGCTCTAGGTGCGTGGGCTTCAGTAGTTGCAGCACACGGTAGTTGTGGCTCACGGGCTCTAGGGTGTACCGGCTTCAGTAGTTGTGGCGCACGGGCTTAGTTGCTCTGTGGCATGTGGGATCTTCCTGGACCAGGGTTCGAACCTGTGTTCCCTGCATTGGCAGGTGGATTGTTAACCACTGCACCACCAGGGAAGTCCCTAGGATAGTCTCTTAAGTCTCTTTTTCTTCTGTAGGTTGGCTCCCTGTTTTTCTTTTTTTCCTTGTAATTTATTTGTTAATGGAGACAGGCCATTTAAAGTCCTTAGTGTTTTCATTGCTGATTGCATTCCCCTGGTATTATTGAACACATAGCTTTCTCCTCCGTGTCCTATATAAATTGCTTAGTTAGATCACGAGACTGGATTTGGGTTCAGTTTTTTTGCGAAATGGGTACAAGGCTTGTCATAGGTGGTATATTATTTATCTATTGCTGTATACGTATTTTCCCAGAACTTAGCAGCCTAAAACAACAGACATTTATTATCTTAGTTTCTCAGGGTAAGGCATCTGGGAGCTGCTTAGCTGGGTGGTTCTGTCACCCAGCTAAGTTATGGTCAAGTTCTTGGCCGGGATTGCATTATCTGAAGGCTGGACTGAGGCTGAATTATCTGATCCGAAGCTCACACATGTATTTGTGAGCATACCTCTCATTTCCTCCTGGGCTATTGAACTGAAGGCTTCAGTTCCTTGTTGGCTGCTGACCGAAGGCCTCCCTCAGTTGTTGTGAGAGCATCTCCATAGGGCAACTCCTAGTAAGACAGCTGGCGTCCCAGTCTGTTATAACCTAATCTTCGCAGTGACATACCATCACTTCTGCTGTATGCTATTTGTCACACAGACCAACATAGTACATTGTGGGAGGAGATACCATGAGACAGGAATCATTGAGGGTGATCTTGGAGCCTGGCTACCACAGGTGGTATTGTTTACTTCCATCAGGAGTTTTCTAATGTCTGGTTGTTTCTTTTCATAATGTTAGTAGCTCATGGGTAATAGTTTCCTAGATCTATTAATTAATCAGGATTGTGTTCCTTATGTAAAGAAAAACTTACCAATTATTTGTTACCCTGAGGTATAGTTTGTGTAGGAAGAAACAGATGCTTCTTTTCCTCTACTTACCGGTGTTCAGAAGAATGAGTTAATTTCTTAGCATCCTCCAAAGTCATGACTTTATTCAAAAAGAGAGTAAGACAAAGACTTGGGTGCAGGTAGTTTGTTTGGGATGTGATCCCAGGAAGCAGCAGAGTGCAGGGAAAGGGAGACCAGAAGCAGCAGAAGTTGTTTTTTTTTTTTAAAAAAAGGTACATAATTGATCTTATTACACCTGTGAGTAACTGGATTGATCCTGCTAAGGACCATGAGGGATGCACCTCAGAATTGTCTGTTGGAAGGATGGAAGGCCAGGGACTTCCATCTCCCATTGGATGAGGGTTGTAATAACTCCCTTGCCCTTTCATGTTGAGACCTATCACTGGCTGAGAGAATTTCCAGGGCTTTGGAAATGCTTTGAGGCTGAAAAGCAAGAGTGGGATGTTGGAAGCAAGCAAGGGAGCTTTTTGACACTTTAAAGCACAGCCTCCCTGAAATTTGAGGTGGGATGAGAAACCGATGAGAAGCACAAAAAGCATCTCTTTTGGTGACCTTTTAAAGTGTCGTTTGACCTAAAGGGTTTCAATATATTTGATGTATTTTAATCCATTATAATGATTGCTAATGTTACTAATGCTCAAATTTTCCTATCTTTTTGACTAATGGGAGCCTTAGTAAGTTGGATCCTGAATTCTTCTGACAAGGCTCTATGCCTTTGATAACTTCTTTGCATGATAAGATGTTCCAGGTCAAGAATTGCACAGAATATTAGCCAAGCAGAGGACTGTTCTGTTTGTTGTCTTCTGACTCTGGTGTAGCTGCAGGATAGAAAGAGAAGGTGCTGTGGAAGCTGGTGCTCATGCTCACTACCTGAGAATTGTCTTGGCGTTAGGAAAGTATAATTTCATCTGGAAATAGTGAAGTTTCTGGTCCAAAGATAAATAGAACAATTATTATAAACTTTGTTTGGTTTCTTGAACATTCCTTGATCTAACTGGCAAATGCTCAGTAATAATACCAACATTTTCCAGGCTACTTTTCTGAATACCCTCATTCACCTCCCCTACCACGGTTCTAGGACAGTTCTCTTAATTCACTGAACCCTAAGCTTGGCTCTGTTAGTACAAGATATGACATAAGGATTGTGTGTTTATTTAGTAAATTTAGGGTATTGGTTAGGTGTCAGTGGGAAAAGAGCATCACACCATGTCCCTGGTCTTTTTGTGTAAAGTGCAGTTGGCTTAAACACCAAGATGAGGAATGGAAAAGAAAGGCTTAAACAAAAAGGAACATATAGCCTCGAGTAGAAGAAATCTGGGGTAATGCTGGTCACTGGTTTGGCCATGGTTTGGGAACTTTTGTTGTATGTGAACCACAGGTCTCACTGTGCTGTTCTGGCTCTTCTCACTTCTTTGTCTCTGTTGCTGCCAATGTGCCTGGTTTTCATGATTGTGTAGGGTACCTCCAAAGTCTAGGATAACTGTCTTGATTCATTATACCCTAGGGATGGCTCTGGTACATAATTATTCTAGCCAGAGTACTGGTTGGGTGCCATTGGGACAGCATAGTGGGAAATAACATAGGCTTTTATAGTTAGATGAGAGTTGGATAGGTTCAATTGAATCCTGGCATTGCTGCTTAGCTGTATCATCATGGGAAAGATACTTAGGCTCTCTGCACAAGTTCCTTACATAAAATGGGGGTGATAATACCTCCTTTTGGCAGCCACTGTTCTTATCCTCCTTTCTCATTACGCCTATTTTCAGCACTTGTTAATTCCCCTGCCCTCAAATACTCCAAAAGAAAAGTAGATTTTTCTGAATGTATTATGGGGAGATGTAGGAGAGGTTTTCATTATACGCACACAGAACAAAAAGAAGTCTCTATCTTAGACTTGTAAAATTCTCTGTGTTAAAATTCTTCTTTCTCAGGTAGCAACCTTCTCTCTCTGATTCTCTTCATCCCTTTAAATTCTTCAAAATATTTTCTCATTTTTCACAAGCAATTTGACTTTGTCCAGCTGACAAAGACGGCTCACCTGGTGTTCCTGCAGCATGTGTCCCATATGCGTGTGTGGTTGTTGTGGGGAGGAATGTCCTGTTAAATACCTCACGGGCTGTATTTAAACTTTTAATATAGTAAACATGTCCACATCAAGATTCTAGAAAATTTAACTTAGTGATATATTTTTAAAAGACAACTTTTATTAAAAACATTAATATCAGACTTCATTGTGTTTAAACTTCTCAAGCAATAAATCCTATGTGTACATATTTAATTGTCTTGAACAGTTGAATGGTTTACTGCTTGATATTTTATATTTATTAAAGCATTTATTTATTAGTACATCTGTTAGGTACCAGATCCTGGTAAAGGGAAGACTAGAAAGGATTCTTCTTCTCCAAGCAGTTTACAGTATATTGGGGAGTAAACATGTAAGAAATAAATGAAGCCATGGTATACATGTTAATATTTTGTTGGGGTTATGAGTAACTTGGTCTCAGAGGGCTGATATTTGAGCTTAATGTCTGAAACAGGAGAAGTTGGTCAGTGGAGGCATGGGAGGTATCAGGGATGTCTTGGCAACTACAAATTATTTTCTTGTTATTTTAGTATCCATATATTCCTGCACATATTACAAAACCTAAGGAACATAAGAAGTTGTTTTTGGTTCAGCTTCAAGAGAAGGGTAAGTTATTTTGTTTTTGAAGGCAGCCATCTAAAACTTTTGCAGTGTAATTTCAAGGATACTTCTATTTGTGTTTTTCCCAAGTTCCTTGAATTTGGGGATTTATCATTAAACTAAAAGCACATACGTTTTTATACAGAATTACCTACTTTTTCTTGGATCTGCCAGTCATGTTACAGGGAAAAGTAAGTAACTAGAGCCTAAAGTACCAGATTATAGTATTGTTAATAACTGTTTAGCTGTTTGTATTGATTTTCACATTGTGATAAACTGAAAATTTTAGGAGACAGATGAATTGATTTTTTTAATATAGTCTTTAGCTCTGTTGTGTATATTAACAAATAATTACTTCATTTTTTGTTACTTTTGAAATGGAATACAAAATGAATTAGAAGCTCAGGGGTCTTCTCCCCCTTCTCCCAGGGCCAGCACTTATAAGGTGCTCGTGGTTGTTAACAGCATAGATCTCTTTGGAGAGTCAGTTTCAAAGCTGTGACTATGAACTTTGCTTAAAAGACACAACCAAAGTGTGTTAATGAGAGTTAACTTTTTCCTCAAAAGTTTCTCAAATGTAAAATTGGTTATACTTTACTAGCGAAGTAGAAGCAGTGATTATATAAGAAAATATAGAAAATGAATACTGTTTTATCTTATTTTAGCCTTGTTTGCAGTCCCTAAAAATTACAAGCTGGTAGCTGCACCACTTTTTGAACTGTATGACAATGCACCTGGATATGGACCCATCATTTCTAGTCTCCCCCAGCTTTTGAGCAGGTATGGAAAGTTGGATGTTTTGTGGTTGATAAGTCTAAACTGCCAGATTTAAAATAATCCAAGCCACTTGAGGAGGAACAGTTCATAAATTTTGGTCTTCAAAGAAACTGAGACAGTAGATGGATCCTTAGGTCTTGTGCAGATTAAGCCAAAGATTAAATATGACTGTGTCCTCAGACCCTAAGTTGCAGCATGACATTCTGGTGTTTGTGCATCTGTTCTTCCCCAAATCTGATATTCTCTACAGTTAAGTTTGAAGTCTTCATTCAAAGAAGAGATGGTAAAATAGTAGTCAGCAATGTATAATAAATATGAGGATAATAAATATGATGGGAGTTACGTATATAAAAATGTGGAGAATTGAATCTCTAGGTATAATACATATTCTCTTTCCATTTGGAAATCTATTCAGGCCCAAGTTGGGGCATGTGGGATTAAGTCCTGAATTTTTACATGGAATTTGATTTTTTTTTTTTTTTAAGGCAGATGGAGTGATGAGAAATGTGTGTTGTTTTGTTTTTTAAATTGACTTGTACTGGTTGAGGTCCTTGAGTCAATCAGAATAACATAGTGGTTAATAATATGGATTCTACATGGATTTGAATTCCATCTTCACTGCCTCCTGGCAATGTGACCTTTGACAAATTATTATACCTGTTTCTTTATCTGTAAATGCGGATGGTAGTCCCAGCTTCATAGAATTGTTAGGACTAAATGAAATAATACATATAAAGCACTTAGAATAATGCCAGGCACCTGGTAAGTGCTTAATAAATGTTAGTTTAAAAAAGTTTTCAGTAGTGATTTTGGCCTCCTGTGAAAGCTTGTTTAGTATGAAATTGGTCTTTCTATTTTGGCACAGAAATCAGACTTCATCTTTTGCTCCTCTGCTTTGGTCTGCTGATGGGTTACACGGTGAAGTATGGGATATGAAAAGAGTCATATTATTCATTTATTTAAACACTACTTATCAGGTAACAGGAATTGTGCTGAGTGGTCAGAATACAATGAGGTATAATAACTTTTCCTTCCCTCAAGGAAAGTGGATAATTAATCAAATTTACACTCTTAAAAGTTTTTAAATTGTAAATATTCAGCGATACTGTTATATAATGTGTAAGATGTGACAGGTGGAAGAAAAGGGTGTCTCTGTGTAGAAAATGCCCAAAATGTCAAGGGAGGGTTGAAATGTCCAAATAAATTTCTTTATCAACTAAGGTAGAAACTATGTAAATAATACTGTTTTTAATAAAGATATTGTTCTTTTTAAAATTCAGGTTCAATTTTATATACAACTGAATTCCTGCGCAGCAGAGAAGTAAGGGAAGCCGTCTCTGTGAGCACAGCTATACACAGTGTAGAGTAAACATGCTAGAAAAGTTTTTTTGGTTTTATCTCTTCCCCAGTCCCTAATTACCACCTACTTTCTGTTGTTTGAATGGTAAAGTTAATATGAAAAATTTGATTGTGGTATAAACAAATGTGATAATGTTTAATTTACTTTTGGTTCTACTTATACTTTTTTGTACAACATTAAAGAAAGTGGACTTCTTTCTATTTGTTTTTTTGTTGTTGTTTTGTTTTTTAATTTCACATTAAACTTGTAAAATTCTTACAGGCAAGGATTGCTTTTCCCCCACTAGGCAGGTGAATGTTAAGAGACAATGGCAGGTTTAGGTCAATAAAGTTTGTGGGACCCTTGCTCTGATACCATTCTTGGGGGTATACTCCAAAACCGTGTTGCAGATCTTTGTGATGAGGATCTTCTGTTACTTTTGGGAGCTAGATTTGCTTGAGTGAGTCCAAGGTGCAACTCCTGTACCAGTTTTACACTCTTAATGATTTGTATTAGAGCAGAACTCCCAGTGTATTACTGACTAGTACATTTTATACCAGTATCACCAGATCTTACTTCACAAACAACAGATCCTAATTAAACAGACGGGAAACTATTAAAATTGACTAGGCTGGGGAAAGTTTTGGGCATTGGTATAAAAAGAGAGAGATCCAGCGCTCATTAGAACCCTCCCCCATAATGCACAAATTCCAACATTTGTGCTGTTGGAATTTATGTATCTTAGTTATTCTTACAACCGTGGTAAAATGATCTGTGAAGGTGAAAGAAGTTTCTAAAAGTGGGTCTGTTACGTTTTGAACTCTTGGATTGTAAAGTTAGTTATTTCAATTGACGTGAAGTTACAGTGAAAGAGATGAAAATTTGGTTTTAACAAGTGACACAAAGCCTTTTCAAAAATATTTTGGAATGATCTGAATCAATTAGATTTTGTCAGCCTAAGAGAAAAATACCAAATTAAAAAATCTTTTAAAAACACTGCTAAATTAGGATCAAATTTGAGGGAATTAAAAAATAAATCTTAAGGCAAAAGAGTTTGCTGGTCGTGTTATTGCTTAATGGTATATTGTGTATGCCTTATTACAAATGATTGACTGTAGGTTTAATGTAGAGGAAATCTTATAAGATGCAGCTACTTAAAGAGATTGACACAGTTAATGTTTTTAATAGATAGAAATGACCTTTTGGTTAGTTGTACGTCTTTATGGTACTGACCACAGGGCTGTTCTCCTGAATATTGGGTGATGTGAAAGATACATCATACATTATTCCCTATTTAGACTTGAGAAAATCAGACCAAGAGCAGTTGAGCAATTATGTTTATAAACATTCAAGTTTATTTAGTTGAGGTCCTGTCAGATCTTCACACGATTACGTATCTAATAGTGACTATAACTGTGCCCATGCTTAGTAGTAGGTGAGCACCGGTCTCCAGGACCAAAAATGACCAGGGATCTCCTTTGAAAAAGCCCCTAGTTTTGTGGACAGTCATCCTCCTTCAAGTGTAACAGTCCGGCCCTTCTGGTTTACATTCACTTGTTTCTAACTTAACTGTAATTTTACTGGTGAGCTCACTGATGAATCCTACAAGATTGGGGAAGGCAGAGATGGAGATGGCTCGATCTAGCCCACCTTCCATGATTGTTTCTGGAATCCAAGTGAAAAGCTGCAGTGATGACTTGCAGGTGTGTTAGCTCCTGCCATTTGGGGAGAGTGAGGAGAGGCAGACTTTTTCTTGGTGTGATTTATAAAGTGCTGTCAGTAAGGAGTGTTTGAGTTGAAGAGTCATCTGATTCGAGGCCACTTGTGTCCTTTTGTAACTTAAGCTTTGACCTAGAAATTCTTTCTTGAGCATTACTTCCCAGTTGTATAAGTGCTTGAGTCAGTCATCCATACCCTGGGGCTTAAGTGAGAAAAACAGTAAGTTGGCTGAGTTAGTAACTTTGGAATATAATAGATCTGGTTTTGAGTGTAAAATTTATAACACAAACACAAATTTTTAAAACTTGTATTTGAACTGGTTAGTTATAGTTGTATCCCAATGCTCACTTGTTAAGTTTCCTGATGAAAATAGTAGAACTAGGGAAGTTCAAATTTGATGTATTCCATTAGAAAGAGGGTACAAGGGTACTGTTTAACACTTTCATTAGGTAAGTTCTTATCACACTTCTTCAAGAACCAACAGTCTTAAAATGTGCATTCCAATTCTCTAAATAATAAATACTGACTAGTTTTTAAATGAGCTCTTGATTAAGTTATATTTTTGAATGCCTTCTATATTCCAGGTTTGTTTGTAAATGAGAACCCACTTTTGCATTGTATAATTACAATATATGCCGTGTTCTTTTCCCTGAGTAATCTGAGTAGTGAATACTCTACATAAGACTACTAAATGGCATTGGAAAATACTCAGTAGGTTGAGGGAAAAACTAAAAAGTTCTACTCAAATGTTTTAAATCATTTTAGGATTGACATCCCTTTGAAGAAAAGTGAAATCTATTTTTTTCTATGTGATGAAGACTTGTGATTTTTTAAAACTAGATAATACTTAAAATAGCATTATGATAATTCTGTGTATGAATTTGTACTTTTAACAGTAGTTAAGACTTCTTACTTTTTATCATTGTCTTCCCTTGTAATTAGCATCGTATGGTTCAGTTATTATTATTATTATTTTTTTTTTTTTTGCGGTACGCGGGCCTCTCACTGTTGTGGCCTCTCCTGTTGCGGAGCACAGGCTCCGGATGCGCAGGCTCAGCAGCCATGGCTCACAGGCCCAGCCGCTCTGCGGCATGTGGGATCTTCCCGGACCGGGGCACGAACCCGTGTCCCCTGCATTGGCAGGCGGACTCTCACCACCAGGGAAGCCCTATTTTGTATATTTAAGGGTTCTGTTAAGTTAGCATTTTATTTGGATAAAACATACCCAAACTAGCCAGTCTGTTTTCTTACATGGCTAATTAGAAGTGAGAGGTAGAGGTCCTCCTTTAAGGCAATCAGCTTAAAATTCCCTTTCTTAAATGGTGCGACTCTTACACTCTCAGGTTTTTAATGACTTCATTTTTTGAGATGAAATTCGTGGAGTACCTTTTCCATGTTTGAGTTCTTCAAACCTGATGTTTTCACTAGTTCATAGTGTTTGGAACAGTATGTGCCCATCACTAAGACTGCTTCAGAGAGTGCAAAATTTTGTATGTCCCATTGTCAGAGAAGGCCTAGTGGGTTTTACTTATATAAGCTGACTGTAATACAAGTCAGCTTATATAAGCATGAGGTTTGATTTCCTATAATTATTCCACATGTTTTACATTACTCATTATTTGGGTTAAACTGGACTCATTTGAAGCAGTTTGCCTTTGCTAAATATGTAATGAGAAGTATAATACTGTAATTTGACTTGAGCCATAAAACACATTTTAATATTAGCTTGTATTTATCTAGCTTGTTTTTGTGAAAAAACTGACTAAAACCTAAGTAAATCTAGATTAAGCCAGTTTAGATGTAATTTGTATTTTAGTGATAGATTGTATCGTTAAGACTAGAGCTAAATTGAGAAAATGTATTATGTTCTGTTAAGGGAAAGATCAGCGCATTTAAAAACTTAAACTTTGGTTGCTGTGTTCACATCATAATGTACAAGCATCATTTATAATTTGGCTTTGAGAATTTCTCTGGCATTAAGTTTATAGAAAAATGTATAAAAGAAACAAGTTTTGGTTATATTTTTATATTTGTAAAGTAAAAGTTTGATTAAAATGGTCACTGTTCTTTTTTTATTTTATCGTCATTTCAATAAAAAAAATTAGAATGACTCTGTGATTTTGTGTGTGGCTACTAATCTTAGCGTGCCATTAGAAATCCTGCACGGTTCTTTTTCAGTATCATTGGCCAGAGGCCATTACATTAGGTAAGAGACAACTTGCATAACAGCAAGGGCTTGAAGACCTGGGACATCCATGTTGCCCTCCCCTTGCATTCCTCCATTGTGTGTTGGCAGTTGTCTTAGGCAGATGCGGTTTCCTGCAATGTGAAAGGGTCATTGGATTTGGAACCTGAAGACTGGCATTTAGAAGTTGCCATGCAATTTTGTTAACTGTGTTATATCATTGGGGACTCAGTTTCCAAAGAGAGTATTGACTTTAGTTTTTTTTTAATCAAACTTGCTTGGTGGTAATGATGTGCTGTGACACCATGCTTGCTACTTTTGTAATATTGGGTTGGCCAAAAAGTTCACTTGATTTTAAGTAAAAATTTTTCATTTTCACCAAGAAATTTATTGAACGATGTATTCGTTAACCGAATGAACTTTTTGGCCAACCCAGTACTTTGCAATTTAATTTCATTATTGTAATAGAAATGGTTTACTCAAAACGTGAGAATATATGTGTAATAAAACCATAGCCTTGAGACTTTATATCTGAACAAAAGTTGAACAAAACTTGATACAGTTATTGCAGAGTTTTTCTGAAAATTTTACTAGTTTATAGCAGGCACCAAAGAGCTATGAAAAATTATGAAAGAAAAGCTAAAAACTGAAATGTTCCCATTAACTTACTTTTTTCCCTATGAACTTGATTATTTTTTCCCCTCTGCTAGATTTAGTAATGGAACACATTGGTCCAGCTAATGAAAACACAAGCAGAATTCCATGGGAGCACAGTGAAGGCTACTGGATTAGATGATGAAGTTCAGTTCCTAGGCTGCTGAGAACCTTAAACAACACCCAGACTACTCAGCATTTCTCACGGGATGGTGAAAATCAAATGAGGTCATGAATATAGAAGGCTTTTGGATATTTTTAAAAATGAAAAGAGCAATAATGTATCTAGATATGAATCTTCACAACTCTGGTTTGTGTGAAATGTTATATTTATTTCCTTTAAATCAAACCAAATCAGAG